GCTAGTCACATATTCTTTTTAAATCATTCTTCACCTTATATGTTCCAATCCAGTGTACATTATCTAGCCACTCTTTTCCTATCTACCCCCAACCCCTCATGTCAGCCTTATTTTAAAACAGTGGTGTTATACAGTACTTGTCCTTTTGTAACTGAAATAGTTTACTCAACATAATGTGTTCCAGGCTCACTCATGTTGTGTAATGTTTTATGAGTTCACTGCTTTTAAATGCTGCATAAGTTTTTATTGTGTGAATTTACCATAGTTTTTCTATCCATCTGTTTGTTGATGGGCACTAGCGTTGCTTCCAACTCTTTGCCATCGCGAATAACAAAGCAATAAACAGGAGTATGCATATATATGTTTGAGTAGAAGCTTTGGTTTCTTTTTTTACTTTTCAAATTTTTATTTTATTTCATTTTATTAGTTTTTGTGTGTGTACCGCCAAATTGGATCTGACTGGTACAGGAGGAGGTTGCCCCTCCTTCATAAGCAGAGCATCCAGTAGATTCGAACCATGTGTCTCTGGGATTGCAGTGCAGCTTCTTGCCAGTAGGCCACCAGAGCTCCCTGAAGCTCTGGTTTCTTTAGGGTATATTTCCAGGAGTGGAATTTCTGAGTCAAATGGTATTACTATTTCCAACTTTCTGAGACTGTGCCAGACCACATTCCATAGTGGCTGTACCATTTTACATTCCCACCAGCAGGCAGTGAATATGAGTTCCAATATGTCCACAACCTCACCAAGTAAAATAAGCATTTGTTGTTTGGTGCCTTGTTGAACTTTGCTATTCTTGCTAGAGTGAGGTGATATTTCGTAGTTGTCTTGATTTGTATCTCTCTGATAGCTAGGGATTTTCAATATTTCTTCATGCTTTTGCCATCTGACTGTATGTCTTCTTTGTGAATTGTCTCTATCATGTGCCTATTTTGCAATTGGATTGTTTCCTTTTTCTTGAGGTGCTTGAGTATTCTATAAATTTTTTATATCAGTCTCTTATCAGATATGTCATTCTCAAATACTTTATTTCCGGTTCGTCGGTTTTCTTTTTACCCTGTTAGAGAAGTATTATGTTGTGCATAGATATTTAATTCATAGAAGGACCCAATCATCTATATTGTTCTCTCCAGGTTGTATGTTATCATCTCTGATTTTATAAAATATAAAAATAATTGATAATGCCAATAAACTGTAAGCCAATAAAACATTGTTTAACAAAAGAAGTGTAGTACAGATTGAGCCCAGGGGCCAAAGCTGTTACATGACCAAGGTGAAGTACAGTTTAACAGAAAGTCCATATCCTTTACTTTTTGTTGACCTAGTCCATAGGGAGTTGCACTGCTAATCCAAAGTCCTTGCTTCTCTGATAATTAAAAATCTTCAGTCTCTCGGACAGAGAAAAATAAGCAGTCTCTTGTGTGATTTACAGCCTCAGAGACCCAAAAGAGGGTCAGTAATGAGTAAGTTCCAATTTAATGATGAGCAACATAGAGGGGATAATAGTATTGAACCCCTTGTAAGTCTGGATCACCTTGTATCTGTCACTGAAAATGCCTCCTAACTTTGTCACATAGCACAGCTGTGGGGTTCTTGTGGTCGCAGCCTACATCAACCTCCTCTTATGTAGTTTTGATAAGCTTATACAAGTGCCAACTTTTCTTCCACTATTGGGGATTTGCAGTGATTCATGTCTGGGTTCATGTAAAATAAATAACTGCTCCCATGTGATATTATAAGTACAAGATTATGAAGCCATATTTATAGTATCTTTCCTAAGACACTGGAAACAAATAATTTTATCAAAAGTCTCCATTTGGATGATCTTACCATGTGTTCCATAGATCATATCAAACTGCTGCATCAATTCAGCTTCAGTTTTAAATGGAGAGTATTTATAAATTATAGATAATTCTGTTGAGAATGTTACAGGATCATTGGTGACATGTTCTCTGGTTTTTGTTAACCATGAAGGCAAGGGGACCACAACCTTTAAAAGAAATAAGCATCAATTTATTATGACATGTACAAATAATAAATGGTCTCTTTGGTCTGACTCTAATTCATAAGTTCTCATGTAGCCCTATTACAAACTACAAAGTTACATTTCTTCCCGTCTAAAGTTTTACAAGGATCTGATAATAATAACAAGGCATACTCTGAGATTTATTTCAAAATGTTTCACTGTGAAATGCAGGGAGGGACTAAATCTTTTGATTCAATCTTTTTACTCTTTTTGAACAACAGGTAAAATGACAGAGAAAACAAAATGACCAGTGTTTTAGAAATAAAAAAAGCTAATGATAATATAACATATCCACAAAAAATGAGTCAGAGTCAATATCTGAAATTAGGGGAACCAGCCTGGTGTGCATTCAGAAGTCCCTGAAAGGCTCAAAGGTTGATGCCATTAAGTAGCTCTGAACTCCTCCAAAATAAGCATGTAGCTATTGAGTAGATTCCAACTCAGAGCTACCAGAGTAAGAACTGCTGCTTCAGGTTTCCCAGACTGTCAACTTTACAGAAAGAGACTGTCTCCTCCTCCTTCTATGGCATGGCTGATTGAGGGTGGGGGTGGGGTGGGGTTCAAACTGATGACTTTTCAGTCAGTAGTCAAGCACTGTACTACCAGGGCTCCTACATATTCCGTAATAGAAGAATTAAAAAAAAAAACAACCCAAACCCATTTTCTACTGTAACTCATGAAAAACCTCTAGAGAGTTTCCAAGACTACAGGTCCTTTATGGGAGGAGACTATCTTATCTTTCTCCCTAGGAGCAGCAGGCAGATGTAAATTGTCAGCTATTTGGTTAGCAGCCCATCATGTAAAATTCTATACCTCTAGGGCTCCTTTCAGTAATGAGTGAAGAAAGCCAGAAATTGTGGTTAGATACTTGTGTGGTTACTATTCTCCTCATTGATACTTATTCTCCAAGAGAAATGAAACCAAGTTTTTCTTGATAAGACGACATACCAGACACTGCTGCTAGGGAATGGGGATTAAAGAGAATAGGTCAACATATACTATTAAATATTGAAGCCCTCCAATTGCACCTTAAAGGCTGGTAAATAGATCTTCAGGCAAAAGACCATTGGTGTCTTCTCTAGGAAATGTGTCTAGCCCAGATTCAAACCACCAAGGCAGTTTTTCTTCCACTTTAAAGCAGGAGGTAATTAGCAGTGCAACTCCAACAGACTTTACCACCAGACTTTCTTGGTATAAAAAGATTACACACACATATACACAGACAAGGTTAAAATCTGAACAATCGAGACTGAAAAACCAAAACAAAACAAACAAAAAACCCAACCAAAAACCCTGTTGACCTTAAAAATATGGAGGAAAAATAAAGGAGAAGATCACAAGTAAGAGTCTGGAATTAAACTGGTTTTACACTTCTCAATAGCAACATGAGAACCTAAAAAACAATAGAGCAATGCTTTCAAAATCTTGAAGGAAAATGAATTCTTATTTACAAATAATGCCAAGCCAGAGAGATATACATGCATATGATGTCTCAAAATGTTTTACTTCCCAAGTACCTGTGTTCAGGCAACTACTAATGAATCTATGTCAACAATATAAGAACTACAAAAAGATAAAAAAACACACACACCAACCAAACAAAATCTAAGATCTGTTATAAGAGCATGGTACAGAGAATCATTGGGATGATGGTGAGGGTTAATCCTAAGTGAGGGCTGAGCCTCAAATATGAACACATACACATCTGGTAAAGCAGAGATGCCACAGCAGAGATCTTCAGAAAGATGGGATTGACAGGAAAGGAGAGTAAAACTGACATTAACAAAATGATAAAAACACAGAAAGCAAGACAAATATTTAGGAGTAGTATTAGTACATTTAAAACTAAGCAGGTATGAGTGAAATATCTCGGTCACAAAAGGACAAATACTGCATAGTATCACTGTTGTAGAATGGGACTGACATCAGGGGTGGGATGAGACTGAGAAAGAATGGATAAATTATGTATACTGCATTGAAACAAATGAGGGAGAGAACTGTTTAAAAGTGATATATGATTGGATATTATGGTTATGACAAGAGTCCAGAATGAAGGCTGGATAGTGGAGTATAGTTGGGGCTTGGGGGTGATTGTACACCAATGAAAGAATTTTTCTTTTACTTTTCAAAGAGAAGAGTGAGCTGAGAGGAGAGGTGGGCAGGGAGAAAAATGCAACAATGAATGAATGAAAATCCAAAGTCTATGTAAACGTTCATTAAAGTTAATTTAAAAAAACTAAGGACACAATTATCAAGAGAAAATAAAAATTCAGGAAAAGGAAAAAAATTGTTTGAGGTGAAGTGTAATTGTAATTAATGTTTATTCCTGTCTATAATGTAATTTTGACACACCAAAAATGGCAATAGAATTGTTTAGGAAGGTGACTGAAAAGATTTATATTAATAGTGAAAGCAAAGAGGAAGGAAAGATACTTAAATTCTTCTACTTTAGAGCAGGAAGAAAACATATAGTGTTTCAGTCAACTCAAGAATTAGAAATACAAGCATATTACTTAAAAATATGGATGGTAAAATAGTACAATCATTCTGGAAGGCAGTTTGCATATCCTCAAAAAGTTGAGTATAGACATTCCATATGACCCAAATATTCCACTGTTTGGAACACACCCTGAAAAAATGAGGACTGAGGCACAGAGACTTGTACACCAATGCTCATAGCAGCATTATTCATGATAGCAAGAACAAGAAAACAGCCCAAATGTCCAATCACAATGCAATGGATTAAAAATTATGGTACATTCACACAATGGGATACTACGCAGCATGCAGGAGAAATGATTTTATAAATTACTACCCAACATGGGAGGGACTGGAAAGCATTATACTGAGTGAACTAATCCAGTCCCATAAAGATAAATACTGTGTAAGACAATTATTGCAGAACGAGTACGAGAGTCCAAGGTGGACAGACTTAATCATCACTGGAGTCAGAACCAACCCATAGTTGACCCTGCACAAGTTTTCAGAGGCAGGTAATTGCAGAGGAGGAGATTGCCATCCTTCTCCAGCACAGCAGCTAGTGGCCTTGAACCAAGTGCTTTAGGGATTGCAGTGCAGCTCCTTGCCACTAGGCCACCAGAGCTCCCTATTATGCTGAATGAATTAACTCGGTCCCATAAAGACAAATACTGTATAAAACCATTATTGTCAAATGAGTACAAAGATCAAGGCTGGGGCACTTAATCATAATGTCACACAATTTGATGGGTGGAGTGAGGGGTGCGTAAAGGAAAAAGGAAAGAAAGATCCATGTGAAAACCAATGTATACGAATTTGGCATATAAACCAGTATAAAAAAAAAAATATGTAGGTAAATCAAAAGAAACCTTTACATTTTGGTGAAGGATGTTGTCTCTTCAAAGAAGTGGAAATGAGGAAGGTATTATTTTCAAAGTAAAAACAATAGGCAGTTGGAACAACTCATTACAGGAAAGAAGTTGTGTTTAGGTTAATTTCCCTTAATATGCACAAAGTGTAATATAAATGCTTAAAGTATCAGCTTCCTCACACAGGCCTACCCTTCCACTTCTTATCCAGAGACAGATCCTATTATCCAGCTTTACTCTGTTATTCTCTCATAAGTAGTATGTAGGAGGGCCTTGTTGGTCAGTGTCCAAATCCCTATAATGACATTACAAGTCCCAGACTCCTTTCCAGATCTGATCTTTACTACATGGCACTTCCCCTCACCAGCTTCAAGTTATACCCTCTTGATTAAAAATCCACAATGACCACTCAAAGGTTTCTAGTTTCTCTATTTACATAGTTTTGACAAGTAATTAGCTGCAACATATATAGGGCAGCGTTCCTTTTGAATATCTTGTTTTGTTTTTTTCATCAGTTTCCTTAGTGTCTGCTTTATTTTGTTTTAAACTCAATTCACTGCCATAAAATTGGTTCTGACTCATAGTGACTCTCCAGCAGGTACCTCTGGCTGTAAATCATAATGAAAGGAGATTTGCCCATATTTCTCCCACAGATCAGCTGAGTTCATACTTGTGGAGGTACATGACCTCGTGGTTAGCAGACTAACTTAATTATAAATTAAGCAACCAAACCACCCTTCAGCTTCTCTTTAAGGTTTAAACTTCTTGATTGTCAAATGATCTTTGCCACATGCCATTTTCACACCTTCTATAGCGTCTATCGTAATGATGGTAAAATAGTAAATAATACATTTCTGTTGAATTGAATAACTGACATTAGCAACAGTAAACCTGGGCACTGCAAATTATTAAAATGTCTTCTGGATAATCAAAGAGAGTAGAATTATGGTCGCTAGGCTTGTTATGAGTCAGAAATCATGTCAATGGCAATAAGTTTTTCAATATTAGAGCTTTATAGTTTAAAGTCGATGTATATGTAATTTCTTCGAATTGTCTTTGGAGTGAATATTCTGTTTACTTAAAAATTATCATTGGGGTTAGGGTGTTAATCATAGGAGTTCACAATGTGATGGGTGGGTGGGGTGAAGGAAATAGGAAGGATCTTTTGTGAAAAAAACAATATATTTAAACTTTGTAAATAAAACAGAGTAGTAGAAGAAAATTTAAAAATTATCATCAATTTACAGCAAAAGTAGTAGCAAGGTTCTGCATATTTCTTCCAGAAAGTTCATTATACCAAAGAAGTCCCTTATTATTGTAGATCTGGGCACCTGGATAATGAAAATACAGTTCTAATAACTGCCTAAGAGTTAAAACCCCACTCAAAGTAGAGTTAATAGGACAGACCTGTCTTCATTATGTATTTCCTACCATCCTTCAACAATCTTCTAAAAATATAACTAAACTTATGAATAATAGAAAAAAATCTATGACATACTTCACACTTCTGCAGGAGAAACTTAAAACTACCACATAACCATAAGACTGAAGGAAAACATCAATCTTACCTCATCAAGACATTCCCTTTCACAGAATGTCTGAGAAAGAAACACACAGGTCATTGTTTCTTCCTTCTTTGTAAAAAGTATAAAGTCCTTTCCAACTCTCATTGACCCACTAAAATAAAATGAAGAATATAATGGTTTATACTTCAAATTAAAAAAACAAACAAACAACACAAACTAGCAGGTAATCATAGTGCTGTACATTCTAACAGGGTAGTGTTTTCACAGAAGAAGTTCCATCAATGTTTGCTGGCTCAAAGGCACTTTCTTTTTTTTTTTTCTTCTCATTTTATACAGAGGATGGGTTTGAACTGATTTAGCCACACGTTCTTACTGAAGATGTGACTTCTACAGATGTTGCTGCTGGGAAGCCCAAGAAAAGAATAGTCATTAGGCAGTGGCAGGGGTCCCAAAAATGATTGTTGTTGTCATTGTTGTTATGTGCAGTCGAGTTGCTTGCAACTCATAGCGACCTTTGTACAACAGCCCTAAACTCTGCTCTGTCCTGTGCCAATCTCATTGTGTCCGACACACTCATCCCGATTACCCCAGTCACTGAATCAATCCTTCTCATCAAGGGTCTTCCCCTCCTGTGCTGTCCGTCCACCTTCCCAAGCATTATGTCCTTCTCCAAGGTCCGGTCTCTCCTTTAACATGACCAAAGTATGTCAGATGAAGCCTCAGAATCCTTGCTTCCAAGAAGCAGCCCGGTTTAACCCTCTCCAGGATGAACTCATATCTCATGTTCTAAATTCATACTGAGATACACTTAAAAAATTAATTGCGGCTATATACCACTTAGGTTGAAAAAAGTATTTGAGGAACAATAGGATATTGAATGCAGCCAAGCTCTAAAGTACATTCATGTAGTTTCATGAATTTCTTCCATTATATTTAACTGAATATTAATTTTTTTTAGAAGTTGTAAAGATAAAAGTCAGTCTGGGTATGGCAATTTTAAGATAAGGCAGGATTCCTCTGCCTTCATCCTATTCTCTTGGTCTTCTACCCAAAATGACTCTGTAAGTTTGATATTCTTTTCTAAATTTTACATTGTCTCTAATAGAATATAGTTTCCCAGTATCAACAAGATATGATTTGAGGGGGAAATTGATTTACCTTTTAAGACCATTACCATTCTGTCCGATGAATTTGCAGGTTGATAAGCGTTTTTTGGATGATCCGAAATAAATTATGTCGGAAGCTTCCTCTGTAACCAAAAAAGGTTTTTAAGGTTGTTAGGAATTTCTAGTCATTGATACTGGTTGTAGGTCCAATTGTCAAGACATTACACAGGAGAAGACTTCGAAGGCAGACAGACCTAGCCATATGACCTTAAGTAAATCGTTTCGAACTCTGAGCCTCATTTCCTCTTCCATAAAAGGGAATTATTAATACTTTACAGAGCTCTAGATTAAGATAAATGAAATTAAGGACACGCTGAATTTGTCAAACTTTGAACACAATATTTGATATATGGTAATCAATCACAGGTGTTATAGCTGTTTGCACTGACAGTACTTTTGTGACTGTGTTTCTTAACCATGTGAGATTATGAAGGAAGCAATAACTAATTCCTGGTCTGATAACTAAGGATTAGGCCTCAACTATACGGAGAAAAAGGGTTGATTGTTTCAGACTTTGCAAGTTATTTTTCTGATCTTTCTGAGACATTCTAGAAGGAATCTGCTGACAGTTGGAAATTCCCAGCACCTACACCTCTGTACTTGGCTTCACTTCAGGGCCCACTGGGCCTGCCCGTTACCAAGTTAACCAGCAGCATTTTGATCAGGTGATGACACCAACCCTCGGGATTCAGCCAAGATATCACCCTCCCTAAGGCTATCATCCTATTCTACCAGCTATGTGCCAGAAAGGGAAAGCCCTGCAATCAACATCCTCAGGAATATGGTCCCAGGGAAGAAGAAAAGAGACAAAGTCCTTCCTGCAAAATTTCAGTGAGAATGAGAAAAAGAGCTGAAGAAGCTGGCCATGCAGATGAAGGAGGGCAAAAGACTTCAGGAGAAAGGTCTGCAATCAGAAAACAACAAGCCTCCCATTCTAGAGAATGAAACTGTGGGATAATTGAGGAAGGAACACAAGCAGTTACCCTTACTATCCAGACCTAGTAAACAGATGAGGTACAGAACTGTTTAAAAGGGATATATGATTAGGAATTATTGTCATGACAGGAGTCCAAAGTGAAGGCTGCACAGGGGAGTGGACTTGGGAGGAAGGATTGTATAACAATGAAAGAATTTTTCTTTTCCTTTTCAAAGAAAAGAGCGAACTAGTGGAAAGTGTCAGCAGGGAGAAAAGTGAAACAATGAATGAATGGAAATCATAAGTGTAATTAATTTTCATTAAAGTTAATAATAATTTTTTAAAAGGAAAAAATTTTCCACAGGATGAGAGAAGTATGAGAGACAGGGTGAATTGCCCTCCCCCTTTCTATTGGAGTGCTGAGCTCCCCAACTGAGGCAAGTCCTCCCCTGAGAGAAATTCAGAGTGAGCTGCCCTTCCCTCCTCTGAAACAGTACCTACTACGTACCAAGATAGGTAGATCATGGACATGTTAGAGTCTCAGGCAAGAAAAAATTCGATCATACTAAGGACAGGGAAGAAACAGACTACCTCATACTCTACACAAAACCAAAACATGATGTTTCCCAAAATAAGTGATCAAAACAAAGAAACAATGGATTTTCAGAAGCCAGAAAATCTGATGGAACTCTCTGACATAGAATTCAAAATCACAATGATCATATATTTTCAATGAGTGAAAGAAAAACTCAAAAGAATTACAGGATTCCACAAGCAAAAGTTAACAGGAACTTAAAATCCAGACCATAAAGATAAAACCAAAAGTGCATTAGATACTCTACCGAAACAAGAAACTACAATCCAGAATATTAAGACCAGTGCTGTCAGCATGAAGATTGTCAGTTGAAGATAAAGAATTGAGGATATGGAGCACAGAATCAGCAAAACAGAAGAGAGAGCTCTGAGTACTGACCTGCTAGAGCAAAAAGCAGAATAAAAAAGGAAGAAAAATGAAGAAAGCCTAAGAATAATGTGGGACTCCACCATGAGAAAAAACAGGCACAACAAAAAGCAGCAAAAAAAGGAAGGCACATGGAAGCAAATAATAATAAGAAGCCAAAAAAAAGCACTGAGAAAGTTGTAGGAGAGATAATAGAATAAACATTTCCAGGAATAATGAAGAATGGGGGAATATACATACAAGAGGCTGAGCAAACTCCATATAGAATAGGCCCCAAAAGAACACCACCACAGCACGTTGTAGTCAAACTCACCACAATCAAAGACAAGGAGGAAATTATGAAAGCAGGTAGGAAAAAAACTGAGAGGAGCTTATAAAGGAGAGCAAATAAGATTAATTTCTCAGCAGAAACTACGCAAGCAAGAAGACAGCTGTTGTTAGGTGTCATCGAGTACTATTCATACTGACCCTATGAACAAAAGATCACAAAGGCTGAAATTCTTGATCTTCTGCAGCAAGTGCTTCAAGTCCTCTTCACTTTCAGCAAGCAAGGCTGCATAATCTACATAATGCAGGTTATTTATGAGTCTTAAGAAGACATTGATGTTGTTGTTGTTATGTGCCATCGAGTCGCCTGCGACTCATAACGACCCTATGTACAACAGCCCTAAACTTCTCTCTGTCCTGTGCCGATCACACCGTCTCTGACACTCTCATCCCAATTATCCCAGTCACTGACTCAATCCACCTCATAGAGGGCCTTCCTCTCCTGCGCTGTCCCTC